AATGGGCATGTGGGCAGTGAGGAGTGTCATGATTCCTGAGGGGTGAATCTGGCTAATTAAAACCAACAGAACTTCACCTAGGCTACACTTTGAAAATAATTTGGGGGATGATATATTTTGAACAAACTAAAAAGCAATTACCTGCTCCGTCAGGTAATTTATAGGAAAAAACAATGAAGCTTGAATAAACATGAGCTTCTTCCTAAGTCAGAGAGAGACACTCTCTGATGTAGACATAGCTATGTTCACTGAGAGAAGTTTGGGTGCAGTGATTCAACTTCAGTAGGAGTCCAGTGGCAGTGCCTGCCAGGTACCCAAAGTGACTTGGGACTTAGATTGTATCTCCCTGATCCACTAGCCCACAAATCTTTATGCTAACTGGTCCAAGAGGACATAATTATTGTATGACTACAATAATCATGGGCTGTAGCGATAGCACAGCGGGTAGGGCATTTGCCTTGCACTCAGCCAACATGGCCGACCCAAGTTCGAGTCCTCCACCCCTCTCGGAGAGCCCGGCAAGCTACCGAGAGTATCTCGCCCGCACGGTGAAGCCTGGCAAGCTACCCATGATGTATTCCATATGCCAAACACAGTAACAACAAGTCTCACCATGGAGATGTTACTGGGTCCACTCGAGCAAAATCGGTGAACAATGGGAGGACCATGACCGTGACCATACAATGGTAGGGCGTTTGCCTTGCACGCAGCCAACATGGCCGACCATACAATAATCATTCTGAAAAGCTCTCTGGAGAAGAATGAGATCAGATTCCATTAAAGTTCTCCACTTTCTCTGCATTCATACTATTGTAAGAGCTACTTTAGAGCACGTGGGCTGGAGCGATAGCACAGCAGGTAGGGCTTGCATGCAGCTGACCCAGGGGCCCGGGTTCGATTCCTCTGCCCCTCTTGGAGAGCCCAGCAAGCTACCGAGAGTATCTCGCCCACACGGCAAAGCCTGGCAAGCTACCTGTGACATATGCCAAACACAGTAATAACAAGTCTCACAATGGAGATGTTACTGGACCCGCTCGAACAAATCGATGAACAATGGGAGAACAGTGCAGTGCTACTTCAGAGCGTGCACACACAGACACACATACACGCACATATATCTGTACCTTTTAGTTATATATCCTTTGTTCTTATTTCCTGTCCTTATTATCCCATTACATTCTATATTAGCTACTGTCTTTCTCCAGTGGAATATAAAATTTTGTCAGGGCCTACACTGATTCCTATACTGCTGTACCTCAAGAACAAAGTACAGTTCCTGGCACACAGTGGAGAGAACAATGTGCTACTTGCTGGACTTTAAAAAAATAAATAAAAACCAGAAAAGATTCTTTAGAACCTTGCCTTGTGAGAAATTCGTATTTAGATTGCAGAATACAAAGCAGAGGTAAATAGATTATTTCACTTGTCTGCTTGGTGGGGGTGTGGCGACTAAAATGGAAGGCTGAGAAAGATTTTTTGAAGAATGAGGATAGCCTTCCCATTCTTGCATCCCAGAGTAATGCAAATTGAGCCTGTCTTAGAGGTAGAAGTAACTGGGGAGAGAAGGGGAAAGAAGCTTCTTAGGTGTCTCTGTCCCCATGTCTCTCGACTTGAGTCAAACTGGCTGGTTTCTAACTAAAAATCAGAGGTGTGAAATGGAGGATAAAGAGGACAGATGAAAGTCTTAGGGTTTTGTGTTGTGGACCTAATTTGGGGGTGCTTTTTGGAGCCTAAATGTGGGGATCCACTATTTCAATGTCGGGGCAGGGGAAGGAAGGGAAAGGTGAGGGAGTAAAAGGTGCTGATTTTCCTGAAAGAAAAATTTAGGAACCATTTTCACAACGGCAATGAATGCTGGCCTGGAAAAACAACACCCTCTTCCCAGTTTTTTCTCTTTCATGTTTTTTCATACCCCAGTAGTCATATCCTCTTTGTTCTGTTCTTAGTTTTTCATCCAATCTTCATGTCAGACCTTTGGTGTCCAATCAGTGAAATATCACTGGATACCAGGGGTGTATGAACGTGTGTGTTTGTGTTTGTGTGATGTGATGGTATAATCATCCCTACTTCTGCAATCAGTATACTATCAGGACTTCAGGTAGAGACTGTGTTAAACAGACTTTAAATTATCAGCATTGCCATATTATTTGTTCAGGAAAAAGTCCTATATTCAGAGCAATGGCTTGTAATGAACTATAAAACTATGCATTTGCCATCTTAGCCCACTTAGATTGCTGTAACAACAACAACAACAACAAAACCAGAAACTGGTGGGGTGGGGCGGAGCAATAGTACAGTGGGCAAAGTGATTATCTTGCAACTGACCTGATTCCTGGCATCCAATATTGTCCCCTGAGCACCATCAGGACTAATTCCTGAACGCAGTCAGGAGTAACCTCTGGGACCCAAACCTCAAACCAAACCAAACCAAACCAAAAACACATAGACTGGGAAATTAGGTTGTTGAAAAACAATAAAAATTTATCTCACATTTCTGGAGGCCATTAGTTTGAGATTAGGTGCTGGTAAGTTCTGATGAAGGCTTCAGTACAGCTGTAAACTTTTTTTTTTTTTACTGGCATCAATTCTGTTCACAAGGCGTCTCCTTTCATGAGCTATTTCCTCCTAAACATCAAGATGGTAGATAGGAGGAGCAAAAATATTCAACCTAAAACATTTAACCTGACAAAATGCTAAGTATTATTCTTTTTTTTTGTTGGGGAGGAATGGAGGAGAGGGGAGGTAGGTGCATCCTGAGTTGCTCAGTGCTTCCAGGCTCTGCACTTAGGGATCACTCCTGGCAGGGTGTGTACCATATGGGGAGCTGGGGATCAAACCCAAGTCAGCTGCAGGAAGATGAGGATCCTCCTGATATATTATCTCTCCAGAATTTCTTAACTTCGATTCTTAAATTCTGCTTTTACCTTTAACTATATAATGACCAGAATTCTTGTTTCCATGGGCAAGAGTGGGAAAAGTTCCAAAGACCTAGAACTCAAGTTTTAAACTAGGACAGTCATGGCAAAGCGGATATAAAAACATTTCCCAAATCCCCAAAACATGGTTTTTGATTAAGAACAAAAAGTCTTTTTAGGATTTTGGAGATTTGGGAAATGCTGAGACTCTAGACATATAGTGACAAATTTATTTAATAAAGAATGGTACTATTAAAAGGTTGTCTTGTATTCATGTTGCAGGAAGACTGAAATCACCTGTTACTGAGGTAATTATCATTAAAACATCTATGTAATTATCACACAAAGAAATGGCTTTAATGGAAAAGAATATCCAATTAGGTCAGATTTCTCTATTTGTTCTGAGTTCAGTTCTCTATACCTAAAGTTTATATGTTCCTGATGCCAGAATTCTGGACTCTTAATCAAAGTTATCCAACTTCTGGTGATTCCTAAAAACATAAACTCCTTTCAATGATGAAAAATCATAATTTAAAAATAAATGTTTCTGAGCGATAGCACAGCAGGTAGGGCGTTTGCCTTACAAGCGGCCAACATGGCCGACCTGAGTTCATTCCTCTGCCCCTCTCGGAGAGCCCGGCAAGTTACCGAGAGTATCTCGCCCACACGGCAGAGCCTGGCAAGCTACCCGCGATGCATTCGATATGCCAAACACAGTAACAACAAGTCTCATGATGGAGATGGTACTGGGCCTAAAGTCATGTATACAGTGACTGTGAGATTCCTTTGGAAACTCCTTCGATGGTGGGGCAGAGTGGGGGAAAATTCCTTGACTCCATTAGCCGCTGGATTCCAGATTCCAACTTGCATGAGGGCGAAGGATAAATCTAAGTGAAAGGTCTACATTACAGTGATGCAATGTTATAAATATTGCAAAAAACGGTGGTGATAGCTACAACTGTGCAAATCTGCCCCCTTTCCCTGACTCCCCCCAGATGATTCCTTTCTAAACATCAACAAACAGTGGCTAAGGGGAGCCCCAGAGGTCCTGTTTGGGGGGGGGAACCTATTAAGTTGAGCACTCACTGAAAATTGCTTTCTTAGCCAGGATGGCGAATGATTGATCACAAGTCAAACTGCACACATGTTAGACTGAAAGAGTGCACAGGTAAATCTGGCCCAAGGCTATTGACACTTCATTTCACTGGTTGCAACACTTGAAGAGGTTCGTGTGTGTGTGTGTGTGTGTGTGTGTGTGTGTGTGTGTAGCGGGACGGGGAGGATTTGGGCGGGAGGCGGGTAAAAGTGGAGAAGATAAAAGTGGAGAAGATATTTAACTTGTTGTAGGTAGGGATCCTTTAGCAGGATCCTGTTGTTTTGGCTTACACTCATGACATGGAGATGGGAAAAAACAAAACAAAACAAAACCAACAACCTGGCTTCCATGTACATAACTGAAGACGGAAAGCTGCTTAAACCAGAAGTTCTCAAGCCCCCGCACAAGAGAAATTGTTGGAGCGTTTAAAACAATAAAATAATCTTGAGTCAGATTCTCAAGACTCTCCCAAGCACCATCAATCTTTTCAAATTTCTGGATGAGTTCAGAAATAGCGAGTTTAGCCAATCATTCTCGTCTGCAACTATAACCGACAATATCAGGCCTCTAGATCAAAACGGCAATAAAATCTGCACTTCGGACAAAGAGTCTTCCCGGAACCCCAACCTTCAACACAAACTTCCCTCAGTCTGGGGGAATTTCAGTTCTAAAATCCAGCGGCATGCCGAATCCAAAAAGAACGACGGCGCTAACGTGGGGAAATTCTGGCTTAGTCGCAGGCATTTTCACGTGCATCCTCTCTCAAACGTCCCACGGAAGTTCAGCACCGATGCTTAAGTGCCGGGATGGTCGAAAGGTCTGAACGTTCCAGGGTACCGCTAGGCAGAGCGGCGGACGAGCGCCCAGAGCGCCTGCGCGCACAGAGACCGCGGAGGCCAGCGCGTCCCGGGACCTCCGGCGCGAACTAATGCGCACGCGCAGTCGCGAAGGCGGAGCTTCCGGTCGCCGGAGGCTGGGCGGAACCTCAGTCGGGCATTCGCTCACCCGCTCCCGGGCCGTGAATCCCCCGACATCCCTGCTCACGGTTATGGCGCGACACGTGTTCCTGACTGGGCCCCCAGGTAATCTGGGGGTCCTCCAGATTGGCTGAGGGGTGAGCGTGGAGGGTGCGCCGAGTTGAGGCGGCCGGCCCGGATCTGGGCTCTGGCTCTGGCTGCCAACTCCGACTTTATGAATTTGATAGGAGCATAGTTTCCTTTCTTAGAAGCGGTGATTTTTTTTTTGCGGGGGGGGGGGGGTGGGGGATGGGTGTCGGTCCAGCGGATAAAAGCGCGCTTGCTGTGCATGCAGCTGATCCGGCTTCGATGCTGGGCATACATCACATATATTATAGTTGTAACGTTATATACATTACAGTTGCATACATTACAGTGATGCAACATTATAAATATTGCAGAAACGGTGGTGATAGCTACAGTTGTGCATATCTGACCTTCCCCCTCCCGGCCCCCCAGATGATTCCTTTCTAAACATCAACAGACAGTGGCTAAGGGGAACGCATGTATATGTATGTAATGTATATAACGTGGTCATCCCGAGCAAGGTCAAGTGTGGCCCCCAAACTAGAAACCAATCACGGTCACCGATCATCCTGTTGTTCGTTGGTTGTCTCAAGCAGGCCCCAGTAACGGCTCCTTTGTCCTAGCCTTGAGATTTTTAAAGTGCCATATTCAAGGCCCTTTCAGGGTTAGGAGAATGAGACCCATCATTGTTACTGGTATTTGGCATATTGGGTACGCCATGGGGAGTTTGCCAGACTCTGCCTTGTGGCCAGGTTACATTCGGTAGCCTGCCAGGTTGTCCTAAGTAAGAAAGAGATAAGATGTAGCACGGCCACAAATGCGACTGCGCGAATAGCTCGTGATTTTATAAAGTAGACAATTGATATTGAAGCTAGCCATGGTTAAAAAAAAAAAAGGACAAAGTTGTAATGTGGATTATTTAAATTGAAGTATTAAATAGCAGGACGCCTTGTTGTACTCCTCAGTAGCCGTAGTAACTACCATAGATTTGAAATTATGATGTGTTCACACAGTAATTCAGAATATCTGGCATGACTGTGGTGGACAATGAAGGTTTCTAAGTTCTTTTGTCCTGCCAAAGCTGTGCCTCCTGATCCATGCATCTAGGGGAAGGGCGTGTGGAATTTTCACTTGGGGAACTGTGAAATTAAATATGTCACTTTGCCTGACCACCTCTACCCCGACTCCAGGTTTAGCCTGAATTTCTACGAACGTCGTGGGACAAGGTTGCAGTCTGGGAGGCCTTATGGGGTCCCTCTCTGACCTGATGCCTGTTTCCACTCACCTCATGCCCTTATCATCGGACACCCCCGACTCTGGCCTGTTGGCATTCTCCTGAAGTGGGGTCAAATAAGACTAAAGCCAAGCTACCTTTCAAACCAAGACTTAAGAGACTTGACAGAAAAGTCACAAAGGTGGTAGCCACACAGGATAGGCTAAGGAAGTGCAGAAAGTGATTTTTTTTAACTCTTTTGTAACAGCAGGGTATTGTACAAGTTAGTTATGAGTTCAGATACTAAAGGTATCTGAACCCCTCCAGGGTCTAGGATTTTTTCATTTTGTCCTAATGATTATATTTATCCTTAAGTAGCAAAGGTTGCACTTCATATTGCAAACTTAGGGATTTATTTTTAACCAAGCCTTGAGGGAGAGTGAGGTGGAGGGTGGTTTGAGAATTTTTAATATCTGGAAGTACTCCCTAATATTGCAAAGGAATATTGTCTTCTGACAATAATTTGTCAGTCTTTGAAATGTGGAATATAGTTTTCTCAGCAGTCTTATCCCAGGATATCTATTTGTTTTACAACAGACATGACCTATTTTTCGGATTATATCTTCTCCAAATCCTGTAGGTGGGTGGGGACAGTAGCTGACCAGAATGTCACTGATTCTTATGTTTCCTTAGTTTTATGTGCATGAAGTTGAGAAGACTCAATCCCACAGGGGAATTCTTTTATGCCCGTCTTCAGAATGATCTACCTTCTCTTCCTACCTTCTGAAAGCTGTTATACTGGTATTTTGACTAGTTTAATAGACAGCACTGTATTGCAACTATGTAAAAGTTAATCTTTTAGTAATCTTTTATCAAGTGGTAATCTTTTTTCTCTAGACATGATGTCTCCCTTTTGAAAAAAAAGTTGGCTTAATTTTTTTACTAACTCAGTCCCAAACTCTGACTACTTTAGATTTAGAGATTTAGAAAAGTCTGAATCTCTTATGAATGCAGATTATTGGATCATATATTGCTTGCTACAGTTGTTTCTGTAATCAGTGCCCCACCCATGTCTCCTTGGCACTTAAGCATCCCCCCCCCATGTGACAGATAAATACTTCACTAAAAAAAAATACTCTGTATGTTTTCTGCTTAATCTGCTTTTTTCTCCATATATTATTTGCTCATGTTTTGCTCAGTTTTCCAGGCTAATAGGTAAACATTTTGCTCTTTAATGCATTGTACTCTGTGTATTTATGTGCCTTGTCATACAGAGTACCATGATTTACTATTCCCTAACTGATTAACATTTAGGGCTTTAAAAAATTTTTTTAAATTGTTTTGCTATTGTAAAGAATGTTGAAGTAAATGGTTGTAATTCACATCTCTTTCTTCTGTTGTCAGATTCTTTACTGAAGGTGAATTCCTAGTCAGTTCTGAAGGAAGGTCTTCAGAGAAATATCCACCAATGCCACTTGACCACATTTAACACATTTTTCAGTAACTTTCTTAAAGCAGGAGTTACTGGAGGAAAGATTAGAACCTGAGGCAGGTTTCATAGTATTCAATCTGAGAGCCAGATAACAGGATCTATTTACATTGCTGTTCTTACCCCCTAAGATCAGGTGCAATGGTGTGAATTTTGGAGGAAGATTGCTAAGAGTATTATCGTATTTTATTTAAAGTACTCTTAGAAAAGGTTCTTGGGAATTGTGATTACTTCATATGGACAGCCATATTTCAGTTCTACTAGAAGTTTTCCTGTTTTTGGATAATCTTGATGCCATAGTCTTAAGTCTGTATGGCAACATGACATACAAGCAAAGTCAGGTCGCAAATAAAGAGCCCTCTTAAAAATGTATGGTTTTTATTAGAATTCTTCACCTATTTGTGCCTCTTTTTTTCATTTGCCTCTGAGAGTGGTTGTAAGGATTTAACTTAGGAAATGGCTGTAGTATGTTGTAATAATGTCTGACTCTGTAACATTTGTGATTGCTACTGTTAGCTAGCACCTTGTTGCTAAGATCTCATCAGTCAGCAAGCTAGACTGGGGACAAAAAAAAAAAAAAGGAGGTTGAGGTGGAAGATGAGCTTGTGGAGATTGTAATTAGGAAAGTGTTGGATAATGCCAAATCAGTTCTTAGGGACACTGGAGACTCAAGGGGTTGCCAGTCTGCTAAAATTGCTCTTATGAAAAAAAAAAAAAGCTTAAAATTTCCATTTCTACCCTCAAGCAATGCCAGATATGGCCTTATTGGCCCCTTAGCTCCATTGGCAGAGTACCTTACAGGCTGTGGTTACTGGGAATGGTCTGGGCCCCACGGCACACTCACTGCTGGGTATGGCCCCCAAAAGGTAAAAGAATAAAACCACCATTTCTAGTGGTATTGGTGACATTTAAGACATTATTTTGGAAGGCAAAGTTAATAACAGACTGAAGGGATTTTCCCATTGTTAATTGCACACTGTTTTGAAAGTTGAAATTCTTATTTCAGGCGCTTAGCCTTTGACCCAAGCATATCTAGTTTTGCTTTCTAGGTGTAGAATGTTCTCCTTACACAAGGAGAATAAGTCTAGGAGAAAATAAAAGTTTGTCCTAAGAGATACAAATTACATACTGGGAGAACTAGTTGGTTCTAGATTAAGTATGCGACAAAACTAGTAATGTTTCATAATTTCACAAATCACAAATCATCCTGTTATTCGTCTATTGCCTCGAGCAGACCCCAGTAACGTCTCCTTCATCCTAGCCCTGAGATTATACTCAAGGCTCTTTAGGAGAATGAGACCCATCTTTGTTACTGATATTTGGCATATTGGGCACTCCAAGGGGAGTTTGCCAGACTCTGCCGTGTGGGCAGGCTACATTCGGTAGCCTGCCAGTTTGTCCAAAGTAGGAATGAGATAATAAGATGTCATAATAAGATGTCGCACGGCCGCATTCGCGACCATGCGGTTCCGGGAGCTGGTTTTTATAGTCTCTGAGTCTTGGCTGCTGATGGGATTACACGGCGCCAGAGGGCCAGTTGGTGGGTGTGACCCCCGCCTACTGGAATTTGGAGGATCTGGGTGGAGGATGCTCGACTCCAATTCGAGTAGGCTTGGAGGTCTCGGCCCCGGAACCCGCGTGGCTTTGTCCCTCTGCCAGTACCTTCATGTGTGCGGAGAGTGGTCTCAGCATGGTGGTGGCTGGTCCTGGAGGTCTTTGGCTGCCGGAGCCCTGGTCGGGGCGGGGAGGAAAGCTCAACCCGCTCCCCTCCAAGGGGCCCCGGGAAGGAACACCCAGGCGCGGGGGCAGAAGACTGCACTGTTCTCGTCCGGAATCTGGATTTTATAGTCTCTGAGTCTTGGCCGCTGATGGGATTACACGGCGCCAGGGGGCCAGTTGGTGGGTGTGACCCCCGCCTACTGGAATTTGGAGGATCTGGGTGGAGGATGCTCGGCCCCAATCCGAGTAGGCTTGGAGATCTTGGCCCCGGAACCCGCGTGGCTTTGTCCCTCTGCTGGTACCTTCAGGTGTGCGGAGAGTGGTCTCAGCATGGTAGTTTCTGGTCCTGGAGGTCTTCGACTGCCGGAGCCCTGGTCGGGGTGGGGAGGAAAGCTCAACCCGCTCCCCTCCAATTTTCCAAGTTTCATAATTTAAAAGTAAATTTTAAGATGCCATTCATATTTTTATTATGCTTATTTGTGTTTGAAATCAAGTTTTGACACCTGGAGCAATCAAAAGTAAAGTAAACTTTGTGTTAATAAAATCCATTGTAGCCATTTGTTCGTCCATTGCGAATCAGTAAGTATTGCTAAACATGCTCTGTCAAGGAAGTGGCATTTGATGAGATCTTTATTTATTTTTAATTTTTTTTTTAGGAGTTGGAAAAACAACATTGATCCAGAAAGCCATTGAAGTCTTAATAGCATGTGATATGCCTGTTGATGGATTTTATACAGAAGAAGTCAGACAGGGAGAAAGAAGAATTGGATTTGATGTTGTCACCTTATCTGGCATGAGAGGGCCTTTGTCCAGAGTTGGGTACTGATATTTTGTTCCTATGATGTTTTATTCTCTCTGGAGAAGAGATTGACCCAGTTATCTCTTCTATCTTGAAAGAACCTTGGGTTTTTACAGATTGCTTAGACAAAGAAAAATTGAGATTAAAATCATCATGTGAAAAAAGCATAAAAATATATGTTTACCAAATACTTATATTCACTGAGTAATAAACACATCTCGCTTTGTACTTTATTTTTTGCGGGGTCACACCCGGCAATGCACAGGGGTCACTCCTGGCTTTGCACTCAGGAATTACTCCTGGCGGTGCTCAGGGGACCATATGGGATGCTGGGATTCTAACCTGGGTCGGCCACGTGCAAGGCAAATGCCTTATCTGCTGTGCTGTCATTCCAGCCCCTCACTTTGTACTTTTTTTTTTTTTTTTTTTTTCCCCTTTATTTTATTTTATTTTTTTTTAAAGTTGTAGGTTTACAATTTTTTGTGCTTTGGTTTCAATTATACAATGATCAGATACCCATCCCTCCACCAGTGCCCATTTTCCACCACCATGGATAATATCCCTCCCACCCCCATCCCCCCATCCCCCCGTCTCTGTGGCAGGGCAATCCCCTGTGTTCTCTCTCTCCTTTTGGGTGTTGTGGTCTGCAAAAGAGGCATTGAGTGGCAAACATGTTCAAGCGAAATGAGTCAGAAAGAGAGGGATAGACATAGAAAGATTGCATTCATCTGGGGGATATAAAGTAGCAAAGTATGAGATTAATACCCAAGAATAGCTGAGATCAGCACCAGGAGGATTACTCCATAACTTAGAGGCCAGTCTGGTATCCTAGAGGAAAGGGCTATTCACTTTGTACTTTGTAGTCCTCACTTTTACCACTTTTCAGAGAGGTGATATGGTAACTACGTGGAGCTTCGGGTTGGTCCTGCAAAGGTTATTGTCCTTGTCTAGAGAAAATATGGAATCGGCAGCTTTGAATGCAAGCCACTCTTTTTTAGATGATTTTTTAAAAAATAAATTTTATGTATTTTTAAGGCACAATGAGGTACAAAGTTATTTATGATTGAGTTTTAGGCATTTAGTGTTTCAATGCCAATTCTATCATCATTGTTAACTTTCCTCCTTGAGTGTCCTCATTTTCCCTCCAAGCCCTGCCTGTCTTTATTTAAAAGTCCTGCTATACACTTGAAACTTTTTTTTTTTTTAATTTTAGACACTGTTTTACTTTAATTTTGTTGTTAGGGCTTCATGCCAGATACATTTCAGCTTGACACCCTCCCCCGTGTGACCACCTCCCTCCATCTTTGTCTCTGTGTCGCCTCTCCCATCCTGTTCCATAATTTATGCTCTTATCTCTGTGGTCTGCATCCTATTGAAGGCCTTTCTCAATTTCTGTTGCAGTTGGACAATTGTTATTTCTCTACTAAAAAAAGACTTTGTATTATTAATCATTAGGGAGATACAAATCAAAACAATGAGATACCATCTCACACTCACATTGAAAAGAACTAAAACAACCAGTACTAGCATGGATTTGGGGAAAAGGAGACCCTCATTCATTGCTGGTGAGAATGTAGACTGGTCCAGCCCATTTGGAATACAATACAGAGACTTCACAAAAAAACTAGGAATTGACCTTCCATATGACCCATCAATTTTACTCCTTGGCATTTACCCCAGGAACCCAGAAAACCCTTACTTAGAAAAGACATTTGCACTCTTGTGTTCATCTAGAAGAGAGTATCATGTTGAGTGAAGTTAGAAGAATGATACAGAATGATCTTTCTCATATGTGGAATATAACCCAAACCGTGTGTGTTTGTATTTTTAAGGTGATTAACAACATATGTGGTAGATTGGAGTCTCAGTGGAACTGCTAAAAAAATCTGTAAAAGAATCTTTGAACCCAAAATCCTGTCTTTTTATACAGGTCAGAGCCTGCACCTGGAAAAAGTGAATGCAGAGTTGGGCAGTATGTGGTGGATCTGACTTCCTTCGAGGAGTTGGCACTACCAGTATTAAGGAATGTGAGTGCAGTTTCTGCTTCTGCTTCTTGAGCCCATGTATTCTTTTTTTTTTAGTTGAATGACTGTGAGCATTACAGAGCTGTTCATAAATGGGTTTCAGTCATACAATATTCAAACATCCATCCCTCCCCAGTTTCCCTCCCTCCCCCCTCCCCCAATACCTTCCTTCACCCCAGCCTGCCATGATTTTTCATAGAGATACTGAAAGGTATCATGTATATCCCTTTAACTACTTTCAACACTCAGGTTTTTTTTTTCTTTTTGGGTCACACCCGGCCATACACAGGGGTTACTCCTGGCTCATGCACTCAGGAATTATTCCTGGCAGTGCTCAGGGGACCATATGGGATGCTGGGAATCAAACCCGGGTCGGCTGCGTGCAAGGCAAATGCCCTACCCACTGTACTATCGCTCCAGTCCCAATACTCAGTTTTTGTCCAGTGATTATTTCCAACTATTGTTGTCATACTGGACCCGCTTCTATTTTAACTACCCTCTCCTCTCCTACCCCCCCCCCCCAACACACACACACACACACACACACACATATTTGTGGTCATTTCTAACCAATGACCAGTCCTCCTGGCCTCTGTTTTCCCTTGCATTGGATATTAGTCTCATACTATATATATTTCTCACAAATGAATGCAGTCAATCTGTACCTTCCCTCTCCTTCTGACTCATTTCACTTAGCATGATAATCTCTATGTCTATCCATTTATAGGCAAATTTCATGACTTCGTCTTTCCTAACAGCTGCATAATATTCCTTTGTGTAAATGTCCATAGGTTCTTTATCCAGTCGTCTGTTCTTGGGCACTCAGATTGTTTCCATATTCTGGCTATTGTGAACAGTGCTGCAATGAACATAGGGTTGCATGTGGTGTTTCTGCTGTGTATTTTTGCAGCACAGGAATACATTCCCAGAATTTCTGGATCGTATAGAAGCTCACTTTCTAGTTTTTTTGAGGATGTCTGTATGTTCAAAAATAAAATGCGGCGTTCTTTTCACATGCATTCGGTGACCATGAACCTCTTCCCCGCCCCAGCCTGCAGCCCCTGCCAACAGAAGCATGAAGGAGGCAATAGGGCCACCAAGCTAGTTTGTGATCAGTTGCCATTTATTCCAATCTCCATCCCGCTGTTGTTTTTTTTTTTGGGGGGGGGGTCACACCCGGCGATGCACAGGGGTTACTTCTGGCTCTGCACTCAGGAATTACCCATGGCAGTGCTGGGGACCGTATGGGATGCTGGGAATCGAACCTGGGTCAACCGTGTGCAGGGTAAACACCCTACCCGCTATGCTATTGCTCCAGCCCTGTCCCGCTGTTTTTTCTATTCTCCCTCCCTGCCTATTACAATCTCACTGAGTGCCCCATTCCAGTCTCACATTGCCCCTCATTCCTGTCTCCTACTTTCCCTGTGCCATCTCCCTGTGGCAAGTCTCACAGCCTTAATCTGGAGCCCAACCTCCAAGGTTGGGGGTAGAAAGTACACCCAGGTAAGATAGCACAGTCAACATATGAAAGCCCATCCTTCCAGGGAAACTCTTCTAAGACAAAGATCTCTTCCTGCTAGGAGATCCACTCTAGGGCAGGAATTTTATCTAAGGGCCTAAGGGTATACTTCTCTTTTCTTTAGTCCATAATCATTTGAACAGTCACCTTAAATTTACTTCTTAATAATCTTTCTAATCATTTTGTATGGACACATGATTCGAAAGAGATAAATTACGCTCTTATATATGGTGGCTTTCCTGGGAACATCTCACTATAGATCTTAGACTACAATCCTCAGACCATTAGTCCTTCCTAACTCCAGCAGGGCCCTCAACCAGTCACTTCTCTTTGGGTCATGACAGAATTTGTCCATGACTGGGCTCTTAGTTTTATGGCACTTGGCCTGTCCCGTTTTGATGCCAGGGTAGCTTACTGCTTGCCCTGGGTCCATCCAGTCCTTTCAACGGGACCCTGCTTTTGGGATGTTAGTAACTAAGAGCAACTGAGGCTTAAGTCAGGTAAATATGATAGATGCTCAGGAGTAAAGATTATTCAGAGTCAATTAACTCCCAAGTTACAAAAGCATAGCATTAACTATCTTCTTCTGTCTATACAAAAAGGACATTGCTTTAAAGTAAACTATGCAAAGGACACAAAGGAAAAAGAAGCAATATTTTATTTACATATTGCTTTTCTCCTGTTAGTTATGGCTAATGACTATTGGCCTAATGTGGTTGGGTAGCCGAGAATTCAGTATAGAATTGGATCAAGATGCTGGTCCAATGTACTGTGGAAGGGAAAATTAACTGGTGGCTTTGTGAGCAGCCACACACAGGAAGCTCTGCCACCCACAGGTCTACCTGAAGTGGGAGGGGGGGGGCACACTTTAGCACTGATTCTGGAGTCACGGTTTGAGTTCCATTGCCAGATCCGTGCTTCTAAAAATGAAGTTTTCCCTTCTCGCATAGGCACCTATTGTTGCAGAGGGAGCCTCTTTGCATTGGCTGCTGGCTTATGCCCCACTGCAGCTCCAAGCCCATCTGTTCCTAATGCATTTTAAGAATTGCTGACCTGAGGAACTGAGTGGCCTTTGATCTTAGAGGACAGTTTTAAATTGTTCAATTTTGAGTCTTAAAGTGAGTCTTAAGGCTCTGCACAAAAGTTGTTGTAGCCCTGTGAATACATTCCTTGTCACTATATAAATTCAACACATACAAATTTTATATATTAGGAGAACTTGATGACCAGATACTGAGATCCCTTTTAAAGATCATTTTTTATATCATCTTTTCCTTGTTTTTATTTTAGCCCTCTATTAACAGAATATCAAATGAATATTTAGTGAGGGAAAATATAATTGAATCAATGGTAAGCAACTAATATTATATCAACATAGATCTGCTAATTTTTAAAGATTTTATTGAGTTATTACTTCACGTACTTTACACTTTCTTCACATTAACTCACATATCATACAGTTCAGCCACTTAAATTGTTCCACTTAATTTGTTCTAATATATTGACTCACAAGTCAGGCAGAGCCTCGCAAGCTCCCCATGGTGTATTTGATAAGCTAGAAACAGTAACAACAAGTCTCAAATGGAGACATTACTGGTGCCTGCTCGAGCAAATGAACAACGGGAGGACAGTGCTACAATGCTAATGTATGACAAGACTATGAAAACCATTGTCACAGTCTAATTTGAGAACATTGTTATCCCCCCAAAGAAAACCTATAGTGGGCTGGAGAAGTAGTACTGGAGATGAGTCTTGCTTGCAACTCACTCTGATTCCATCTCTGCGCTTCCTGTGGTCCCTTGAGCACCTAGGAATGATCCTGTGCAGAAACCTAGAAGTAAGCCCTGACCATTGCCCTCCCTGAAAAAATCAAAAGAAACAAACCGGTGCCTGTTAGTCATTATCCATTACTGCTGGGCAGCTGCTATCCTACTTTCTGTCTGTAGACTTGACACTTCTGGACATTTCCTTAAAAGGAAATCATAAAATATGTGGTCTTTTTTGACCAGATTACTTCACTCAGCATGTTTACAAGGTTTTTCCATATTATAGGATATATGAGTATTTCATTTTTATTTCTGAATTATATTCCAGTATAAGGATGTGCCTGTTTTATTTATCTTTTAGTTTCTGTACATTTGGATAAGTTTATGGTTTTTCAGCATTTATGAATATTGCTGCTCTGGATATTTGTGTACGACTTTGGGTGGTAGATACCTTTTAATTATTATGCTAGAATTGAATCCATGTAAGGAATGCACTCTTGCCACTAAGACTCATCCCTGGTTCCTGTGCATCTGCTTTTTATTCTCTTGGTTATGTATCAAGGAGTGAAAATTCAGCTTTTAAAACATTTTGATGAATTACCAGACCAATTTGCAAACCAACTGCACCATTTTCCATTGCTATTATCAATAGATACAGATTTCTGTTTCTCTACGTCCTTGCCAGTTTAGTGTCTATCAGTCTTTTTACTTCATTTTATTTTTGGTTTGGGGGCAAACCTGTCAGTGCTCAGGTCTTACTCCCTTCCGTGTGCTCAAGGGATCACTTTGGTGGTGCTTTAGGGGACCATATGGAGTGCTGGAGATGAAACCCTGGTTAACCACATATAAGGATAACTTTATCCACAAGTCCCCTGTCTGCCTTTAATTTTATACATTATAATTGGTGTGAAGCAGTATTAAATTGAGATTTTGATTTGTATTTCCCTAATGTTGAATAATATTGTCCACCCCTTGTACTTAATGGCTGTTTTTATGTCTTTGGAGTTTTTTATTTCCTCAGCCATTTTAAAATTCATTTTAACTCATTTTTTATTACTTAATCATAAGATTTTTTTTTATAAGGTCTTTGTGCCAATTTGTTGCCATATACCATTTTCATTTTGTTTTTGTTCTGGTTCCACACCCAGCAGAGCTCAGGGCTTATTCTTGGCTCTGTATTCAAGATTCACTTCTGGTTGAAAGGGACCATGTGGGGTGCCAGAGATCCAACCTGCATCAGCTGATGTAAGGCTGGTACCCAGTCTGCTGTCCTATCTCTCCAGCCTCTAATGTTATATTTTAAATATTTCTTTCCCACATTTTTTTTTGTTTGTTTTAAATATCCTTCTCAATAAACATGATTTTCATGACTTTGTTCTGTAATTGTCTTCGCTTTCGTGTGTCTTTGGAGTACAAGTGTTTTCAGTGTTAGATAAGATCAGTTTATTTTTATTTGTGCTTTTGGTGTTTTTGTTTTTGGTTGTGGTTTAGTGTTTCAGCAAGGCTTTGATTAGTGCAGTTTTTTTGTTTTTGTTTTGTTTTGGTGCCACATCTGGTAGTGTTAAGGCCTTACTCCTGCCTCTGTGTTCAGGGATCATTCCTTGGTAGGTTTGGCGGACCATAAGTGGTGCTCGGGATCAAAGTCGGCCATGTGCAGGAGAAGCCCCTACCGACTGTACTGTCACTTGGACGTCAGATTGGCACCATTTTTTTTAATT